CATTTTATTTCGTATTTTTAAATCATCTTTTTATTTTTGACTATCTGTAAATTTAGTTTCCTGCTCTTAATTGTGAATGCATACTTGATGGTTTTAAATGCTCCTGAAATTAAGTGCTGCTTGACGAGCCTATATTGTGTATGTATGTGACGTCACTGAAGGCCTAAGGTTGAAATGCACGGCCCGCCACTGGGTTTCGGATAGGGCAAAGACTGCAGAAGGGTGGAATAGAATGTTACATTCTGTGCATGTACAAGTCTCGATCACGTGGCCAGACTTGAAATAAAAAATTGCATCCCTGGTCTTGTTCAGGGGGCCAGGCAAAATGCTGAAGTGGGCCACATTCGGCCCGCCAGCCGTAGTTTGGGGACCCCTGCCTTAGGAGCTCCGTTCGTACTTTTCCTAATCTTCGAAGCAGAAACCAAGCAGTACCTGAATTCTGAAAAACAAGAAAGCGGTGATGCTGTTTATTTCCAATTTTTGTTTAAAATCCCCTGGCATCTTCCTTTTGTTTATCTCTCTGTAATCTCTTATTCTGTACATGTATGCATAACTTGTTCGTTTTGTTTTCTGTGACTTGTAATTGGACTTGTTCAATCAAGACTTATATAAAAAAAACTTATCTTCACTTCACACAATCCAGGAGTCTGGAGTCACAGCCGTTTGTTGCCAAAAGTCAACTCAACTGAATTGTATTTATAGAGCACTTTAAAACAACCACCGCTGTATACAAAGTGCTGACCATGGAGCAAATATTATATATACGACAATAAACAATCAAACAATAATAACGAAGACAATAGAAAGCACAAAAACAGTAACTCAAATCAAATCTGAGCTATGATGAGTCAAAAGCCAAAGAATACAAATGAGTTTTAAGACGAGTTTTAAAGATGGGCAGCGAGGAGGCTTGCCGAATGTTCAGTGGGAGGTCATTCCAGAAAGAGGGACCAGCAAGGGAAAAAGCACCAGGCAGGTGTGCAGGGGCAGAGGAGCTCAGAGAAGTAAGGTGGAGCGAGGCCATTTCAAGATTAGAAAACAAACAATAGGATCTTATAAAGAACTCTAAAATGAAAAGGGGGCCAATGAAGGGATGCCCGAGTAGGAGTTATGTGCTCCCTCTTACGAGTACCAGCCAAGAGGTGAGCAGCAGCATTCTGGACCAACTCGAGACTGGAAATGTTGATAGCAAAAGCTTGGGAGCGGAAACGAGAAACGAGGGAGCGGAAACAAGAAACGAGGGAGCGGAAATGAGAAATGATGTAACCGAGAGGAAACGCTCAGTCTTTTGTTTGCACTTCAGAAAATGTACTTTGAAGCAAAAAAAAAAAAGATTTGTTTCAACCAAAAAGTTTGGTTTACAATTCAAAAAGTTTTATTTGAATGTATTTTGCAGAAATCTGATTCAACAGGGTAAAATGCAGTTTTCCCTAATTGCTGATAATGTTTGTCTAATTGATACTGGAGTAGTAACTGATTGATGTTACAGTGGAGCTCATGAATAAAAATAGGAATTATCTGTAATGCATGGATGACGTGGATAAAGATGCGGCTCATCATATATGTTTGTTGATGTTTTAAACAGCTTTAATCAACCTATAAACCTACGTGTATATCTGTTCGCATTTCATGTGACCTAAATGTTTGGAGTATATTCTGTCTACTCATTCAAGATGTTTATGCACAGTAAATACAACTGTAGCATTGAGCAATGAAGTTCTCCCTCCACTTATACATCGAAAAAAGTTAATGAAAAGAGCAATTTTAAATCATCCATCCATTATCTGAACTGCGTCATCCTCACAAGAGTTACGGGCATGCTGGAGCCTATCCCAGCTGTCTTTGGGCATTATTAAGAGTAAGACTTGTTATTACACACATGCAGAGCTACTCTTTGTAAAATCAAAAGTTATGAAGCTAAAAGAATTGTTATTTTAAAATTACCGTACACAAAAAATGTTTCGAGCAAAAACACGAACACTTCCTCATTTAATACAAAAGGTTTTTATAAACTGGGAGTTTTATAATCTAAGTCGTGTTTGTAGATTTAACGTACCAAAAGCTCTTAAAGGAATTAAAAGGAGATCTGTTTCTGTTGCTGTAGTGAAATATTGGAATGATGCAACTATATGTGTGTGCCCTGTGATAAACATGCAAAGCGCCTCAACTACTACCGGCCCTTTCCATCCATTTTCTTATATTCTGTTCGAGGATGTAGGTAGCTGCCGCCTATCACTGACTTAGACCAAAAGGCAGGCCACATGCTGGACTGTTCGGGAGTCAGCCACAGGTCACCTATTCAGACAGATAATTCACACAAGACCCTGAGTGTGAACTGATCCTCCGCTGCCTGCCTGCTGAAGTCAGGCGAGTGAATCACTACAGCGTAGTGATTCACTCGCCTGACTGTAGTGACTGACTGACTGACTCGCCTGATGGTGTAGTGACTACACCATCTGAGAGCTAATTCATGGGAACTGATTCATGCAAACTGATTCAATACACACTTTGGACAAAACACATTTGCTCAAATTACCTTAGATAATGATGTCAGTAGGTGTTTTTATAAACAATTAATGACTCATTTATTTATTTGACGACACTGATTATGTTAATGATTTCTCACGGTAATTTTATTTCAATATATCTCTCACAATGTTTACCGTTTCACATGTATAGCACTCCCAAAAATTCACAATGTCTTTTCACCTGTGAGCTATTTTTTAGAACAGGCTCTCGGGCTGCTCATGCGGTCCTTGGGGTCCGCGGATACCACGTTGGTGACCACTTCACTACACCATTCGTGACTCTGCTTTCTCCTATTCATTTTTTTTTAATTTAATGTTTTTTTTTTATGTGAAGACATTCCCTCAGACCATTAATCCTTGTTACGTTTTCCCCACAAGAAACATTTCTCTTTACAACAACAGAGGGCGCTCTCACATAAAGTTTCAAACAAGGTCTTGACCATCTCTCCATATTGTCGGCTCTTTCAGCAATTTAATCTTTTGGAATTCCCCAACACGTTCTGTCGACACGGAGAGAGGTATGTAAGCCTGCGTGCGTGTGTGTGTGTGTGTGTGTGTGTGTGTGTGTGTGTGTGTGTGTGTGCGCGCGCGCGCGTGCGTTACAGACAGAAGAGGAGGAAGTTAACACAGTCCATAGTGCTGTGAAGCATTCACGGGAAGAGAAGAAAGTCATTTTTCACACATATCAGGACCGTATGAGGGTCAGGGCAGACTGACAGATGCAGATTCAGTGATGTTCTGCAGAGAACTTTCTTTGAGAGCAAAGGGAGTGGGCGGGCGAGACAAATGTCTGCACCGTTCTTTATGATATTAACAATGAGTAACTTCTGAGGGTAACAGTCCAATCAGCCATTACCCTAAAAAAAAAAAAAAAAAAAAAGATAATAATAACAAGGCCATGAATTCTCTGCACAATGTCTCTGCTATGCATAAAGTAGTGGCTCCAGGCTATGGTCAAAACAGGCACACAGATTCCAATGTACAGTGAGAGGTGGGAACATTGTCAGTTTTTATTCATCACCAAAAGTCTGTTGATGAAAAAATGTGGAAAAAGAAAAAACTTTGACCCTACTCTTATTTTCTCGATTGCTCTCATTTTGGTAAAGATTAGCAACTGGAGCTCAGTGTTCAAATACACTCACTGGCCCTCATTAATTGCTGGTCATAAATGCATAGTCATGTTCGCACACTGCGCACAACTTGAGCATATGCACAAACTAACCGACACGAGCGTACCGGCCAAATTACTTGGGACTTGTGTGCATATACTGATGAATCTGAATTCATCTGAAATGACATCAGGTGCCCTCGGCTTTCCATAATCCGCGCCATATTTGCTCAAAGAAGGCTGTCAGATTGATGCATCTCAGCCAATGCGCATTTAAAATTGTGAGAGATTAAAAAAAAAAAATGCACGAGATGGCACTAGGCGGTCATTATACGCTCTCAATCTTTCTCCTAGGGATAGCACTACGCCAGGGCTATGGAGTGCGAAAGCTCTGTCAGAAATCTGTTTAGCCCATTCAGCATTTTATTTGATATTTGAAAATAGATTGATACATTATTTTCTCAGCCCCCTTACGGATCAGTCGTGACGCTTTAACCCCAGGAGAGGAAAAAAAAATCTGTTTGATCCTATTTTCAAAAGGTTTGTATCAACAGGTTTGCTTGAAGCACAGAACCTGACAACATATCATATTAATGTTAATCATTTTTAATTAACTCCAATTTACTGCAAACTGAAGAATGCTGTCCACAAAACATGCATAGAAATATACATTATTAGCCAATCAACAAAAAACATTGTACAAGTTGTTAGGCTACAAAGTAAGGAATAAATAAGGCACTGCAAAGGCATTTGTAGTTGATACAATTTATGAGCGGGGAAAAGTTTGCCGGATGTTCGAAGTTTATTATTCGCTCTTACTGTCTGTGTTCTGGACTGTCCACAAATTACATATTCTTGGGTGACATACAAGGGACAAATCACCATACATCAAAAAGGAGTATTATTTATTCATTTATTTTTAATTCAGAATGATGTACTTGCTGGGGGCGGCACGGTGGTGGACTGGTTAATACTTGCATCTCACAGTGGAGAGGTGCAGGGTTCGATTCCAACTCTGGCCTTCCTGTGTGGAATTTGCATGTGTTCCCTTTGCCTGCGTGGTTTTCTCTGATTCCCTTCTCCCAAACATATGCGTGGCACGTTAATGGACCACTCCAAATTGTCCCTTGGTATGACTGTGAGCGCGGATGGTTGTTCGTCTCTGCGTGCCCTGCAATTGTCTGACACCCGGTTCAGGGTGTCCACCGCCGACTGCCCGAAGACAGCTGGGATAGGCTCCTGTACGTCCCGCGACCCTTGTGAGGATAAGCAGATCACCATATGTGCTCACACTCACACCTCGGGACAATTTAGAGTGTTCCATTATTCTGCCATGCATGTTTTTGGAATGTGGGAGGAAACCGGAGGACCCGGAGAAAACCCACACAGGCCCGGGGAGAACATGCGAACTCCACACAGGGAGGCCGGAGCTGGGATTGAACCCTCTGCACTGTGAGGTCGATGCACTAACTACCGGACCACCGGGCCACCGGGTCAGAGATTTTCAAACACATTTCATGCATTTTGAAATAAATCATAAAAATGACTCTACTCTGCGACATTGTAATGAATTTAGCAGCAACATTTTGAGAGCGAGTTATTAATTATCTATGTGCAATGATTTTGAAAGCTTCTGGGGCGGCCCGGTGGTCCAGTGGTTAGCACGTCGACCTCACAGTGCAGAGGTACCGGGTTCAGTTCCAGCTCCGGCCTCCCTGTGTGGAGTTTGCATGTTCTCCCCGGGCCTGTGTGGGTTTTCTCCGGGTACTCCGGTTTCCTCCCACATTCCAAAAAAAAAATGCATGGCAGGCTAATTGAACACTCCAACTAGTCCCTCGGTGTGAGTGTGAGCGCGGATGGTTGTTCGTCTCTGTGTGCCCTGCGATTGGCTGGCAACTGGTTCAGGGTGTCCCCCGCCTACTGCCCAAAGACAGTACGAATAGGCTCCAGCACCCCCCGCAACCCTTGTGAGGATAAGCGGATCGGAAAATGAATGAATGAATGAATAGCTCTTGCTGCTGTTCGAATTCAATATGAGTGTAATATTTCCCTTCTCATTAATAATGGAGTCATGTAGAAGTGCAAAAATGAGCAGAGCACAGACAAAAAGCACTTATGATCTGTGGAATCAGTTTTGGTGACAAATGTGTGTAGTTTTGACGATTCTTAATCTCTTTGCTCACCCCTCACCTCATATGTTTTTACCACCAAAGCCGTGAGAAACTCACCTTCATAAGTACTGTATTTATTTATCATAAAGACATATGTCACATATTCGAGTTAAAACATTTCCCAGAAACTGGATACACTTCGCTATATTTGTGCGTTTCAACACATTAGAAATCATAATCCTCCAAACCAGGCAAGAGGAGAGTCTACAATTCCCACGTTCAAGCTTGTGTTTTCTCTCATGGAGAGAGTAAAAAAAAATAAAGAACTATCTATCATCAAGCTAATAATTAAAAAAAAAAAAAAAACAGCTTTAACTGACATAATGTATGGTCTAGATGACAACCGTAGTCCCAGTGTGTCACCCGCCCGGGGCCAAGACTGGCTGTGATAAATGGAGGCTGCTGCTGTGTATGGAGGTGAAGAAAAAGGAATCGGACTGTGTCCATGGTGGAGTTGAACACTTTGAGTTCAGCATTCCCAAGACGCAATTCCTTCTACATGCAGCTGAAACAAAGTCTAACCTACAGCAGCGGTCCCCAAACCCAAGGCCGCGGACCGTCACCGGGCCGTGGGTCATTTGGTAAAAGAATAAATACTTTACATTACTTTCGTTTCATTTATTTCGGACTCCGAAAGATGTTTTATTTTGAAAAATTACCGGATCCTCTGTTACAACCATCTACAGCAGGGGTGTCAAAGTCAAATGGACGGAGGGCTAGATAAAAAATTTTGCTGCAAGCCGAGGGCTGGACTGATCGAATGTTCATTGAAAATTTTAAAAATGACCACATATTGTTCATTGAACCAAATTTAATTGACTGAAAACCTAACAAATACATTCCAATATGGTCAGATAAATAAAGCAACATTTTTTATGGCTATGTCAGTAAAAAATGACATAAATTTTCAACAGGCACAAAAAATTTCCTTTGTATAAAAATCCCCATAACATGAATGAAAGAAGCCGATATT